ACATTTTTTTAGACCTAGTCCTGAATCCAGAAAACGTCATACATTTTATGAATACTATTAATGTAAATTCCAGTAAGCAGGTGATCTGAGAATGAACTAGTCATAACACCAGTCAGACAAGGGAACCAGTGGTTAAGGTTTAAATCCTCCTTTCACTCACAAGTTGTATAACTTGGTGAACATTTCTTAACGTCATGGTTTCCCAACTTTGTCATCTGTAACATAATGAGAATTATAATCACGTTACAGAATTATTTGGGGAAGTAAATGCTTTAACATAGGTAAAGGCACAGAAGTGTCCAACCCTTTTTTCTGCCTCACGTTGAAAGAAGAGTTGTTTTGAGCCACACATCAAACACACAAACACTAAGGAAAGCTGATCAGTGACCAAAAAGGTTTGTGCACAACGCCAGAGATAAGCAAAACAGTCCTCAAAATGGTCCCTGGAGCACGTAACAGAAATTATGGAAGTGTTGCTATTATAATCTGTAATACCCGCAACGACAACTGACTTCAGAGGGGTCACATCCTTACTTTGCCTTCTGCATTGTTCTTTTGTGTTTGGTGCTGCAATAAAAGCAATTTTAAAGTTGAAGACAAAAGCCTAACGCCTCTACGATAGAAGTTTCTATCTCTGATCCCTAAGGGGAACCATCCGTGTCCCCTCCTTTTGCTCCCTTCCTAAGAGCTGTCATTTAGCAGGGTCATAATGTTATCAGATTACTTTGATTCCAAAGGAAAAACAATTTCACATGCAGACCTCAATATTAAAAAAAAAAAAAAAATGTCTTTTTGAGAAACGAAAGGTCCAGGCACCAAAGCAATGTGTCCGGATTTTAATGACCACACGAGAACTCAAGTTTATTGGAGAAAAGGAGGCAGAGATTTCCTTTGCATGACTAAATCCTTGAAGAGAAAAGGAATTTTTAATGGATAAGATAGTGTGGAACATATGCTAATTTTGTATAACTGGAATTTTGAATAATTGAGTTTAATTCTGTTTGTTTTTTTTCCCCTAATCATTTCACTCCTAGGACAGCTACTGTTACACAATTAATTGTTAGAACTAAGTCCACAATAAACTCCCTGATAATAGCTCTAGCTGGCAATAAAATAGAAATTGGGTTATAACACTTATCCGTGCTCACTGTGTATACAAAAAGAAAACGTAGTTTTAATTTGCTTATATTAATTAAAATATAATGAATTAAGTGGGTAACAAATTCATTAGAAATTGAACTTTGACTGCCTAATTGTTAATAGTTTTAACACCATCTAGAAGAAAAAAAAATATTAGCAAATCAAGAATTTCAAGAACTTAGAGTGTAGAGATGGATTTTTACAAAATACACAAAAATCAAGCACCAACAAATTTATGCTTTACTAAAACAAGCTTAAAATGGCAATGAAGTTAATATACTGATAAATACAGGAAACACAGCCATTTAAAAATACATTTTTACACATGAATTAAGGTCTTCTGAGAACATTAGCATAATTGAAGTAGAAATTGAAACTATAAAAGGATCTAGGGATATACTTACAGGTAGAGAGATGAAATCTAAAGGGGAGAAATGGAACAAGTTAATTATTTGATGTAGTTATTTTAAATTTTTTGGAAAAGCTAAAAATGTCCTTTAGAAAATGGCTCAATTTTCATTAAGTTTTCCATATTTTTTTCTCTCTTCTTATCTTTATAGCAATGTTTATCTGCTACATGATGTATTTAATATGTTCACAGTTGATTCATATTCTGTAACTTAGTACCTGGCTTGTGCCAGGCATTTGATATTAAAGCAAAAGAATTGGCTCGGGGCCTGTGGCTAAGTGAGTAGGCTGCTGGCCACATACACCAAGGCTGGCTGGAGGGTTCGAGCTGGGCCCAGGCCTGCTAAACAACAATGATAACCGCAACCGAAAAACAGCTGGGTGTTGTGCCGGGCACCTGTAGTCCCAACTACTTGGGAGGCTGAGGCAAGAGAATCGCTTAAGCCCAAGAGTTGGAGTTTGCTGTGAACTGTGATGACATACCCTCTACCCAGGTGACAATCACCAATTGTGATTTAAGCAAGCTCCTTAACTTCTGAAAATATCAGTATTCCCTGTCTATGAAACAGGGACATTAATATCTAGGGACTTGGGAAGCTACATGATAATAATTCACTTGAAACAGAGCCTGACTTAGAGTACATAGAAGCTAATGTCACTGCCAAAGCCAGAATTAATTGATTAGAAATATAAACATTTAGCTATGAGCGTACAGGGATAAAACCTTAATACTCGGGAGGTGTTAATCTCCTGGATATCACATTTGAGGATTCTTTTGTAATCCATATGTCATTTCACTTTTTAAAAAATTATAAATATGCTTAGCTTGGGTCTATGACTCTCAATGTATATGATTATATGAATAAATCTTCATTAAATTTTAAACTATAATTTGAAATGTCTCAGTGTATATGCCTTTTATCTAGAAATTCCATTTTGAGGGATCTATTCTATTAGTACATAGACACAAATTACATATACAAAAATGTTCCTTGAAGTGTAGTTTTTAGTAGCAAAACAATGAAAACCTTTTCAATTGGCATACCAATAGCTCTGATATATAATATTAAGAGTTAATCACAGGAATCAGAACAATATGTTAAATACATAGTATGGTCCCATTGTTGGCAAAAAAGTATGTGATTACATTTGTATGTGTGTCTATAAATGTACGGAATGTTGGATTTTGAACTGTTTATGGTGATGTCTTGGGAGGGGCTGAGTCCAGCAGTAAAGGGGCTAAGGAGGAGCTTTCAAGTTTTGATAGCTATACTTCATATTGTTTGATTCTTTTTGATACGAAGGTGTTTGTGATTTACTACTGCAATAAAAGATGACTATTAGTATAATGCTCCTAAAATTCACTTTGTAAGAACAGGCATCATCCGAAAATGTGCAGTGAAATTTTTATACATGGGGTGGGATGTACCATGATGTTTCCTCTGTATACTGAGAAGAAAACATTCAGTTTCCTGTGTAATCGTTTAAGGAAAAGACCAACAAAAGAGAACAGAGTAGGATGACATCCCTTGCTCTCTCTCCAATGTCTCTCTCTCTATGTATGTAGGTGTAATGGTTTAAAGAAACAATAATGGCTACCTTTAAATACTGGAAAGATAACAACGCATAAAAAACATATTTGCTTATTCCAGAGAAAACTGGATCCAATGATTCAGCACATATTACTGGTTTTATTATTCTTATTTTTACAATGAATTTGTTGTAAATTCAGCAATGAAATCAGCTGCAAAGGGACTTCTCTATCTAGACGACTCCCTGACAGGTCAAATGCAACAGCAAGACTTGTGTACTATTGGAAGTGTTCAATTAGCGGATCTCTTTGAATTGACAATTTGAGGATACTACGAACATTGTTCATAGTAGTTTGAAGAGTGATTTTACACCTGCTATAGTTTTCTAATAGATACCAGTGATGATGTTAGTTTAGAAAAGGAACAAGTATTAGTTAAAGTGAAATTTTAAGACTGAATATATTAAATTACAAAGACTCCTCCTTGAGTGCTGATCGCCAGGTATTTTCCTAAGTGTTTGTGCACACATTGTCCTGATGACAGTATTATGTGATTAGGCATTTTTTGGTCCCTATTCTTATAGATGTGTAAACTGAGACTCATTGGGAATAAATAGCACACCCTCAAAATCATCTTAGAAAGTGTCAGGCCAGTATTTAAATCCAGGTCTTCCTGACCCCATACTTCTTCCTTATTTTACATGCTTGAATATAAATGAAGTTTCAGAAAGAAGAGTTTATCTTTATAACTAATAAAGATGTATTGTCCAGGGCTGATAAAACCAAGAAAATTGGCATATATCAATTAGCATCATATTAATTGTTGGACAGGGATTAGAGCTAGCATAGTTAGTAATTAATATAAATAGAGTGATGATATGGCCGAGTTTTCCCGGGAATGTCCCAGTTTATTACACCTGTATGTAATCATAACTACATCATATAATTATAAGCTGTATCCTCTGTCAGTCTTAAAGCATCCCAGGGAAGATGAAAAATGATAAAAACATAGTAACTATTACTAAAGGTAATTATGTCCAAGAATGGTAGAACAAAGACAATTCCAGAAGCAAAGTGAAATGTGTTTTAGAGCAAACCCCACAATCCACGAAGAATGTAGCAACTCACTGCAGTGTTCAGGACTCCAGGGCTGGCAAGTGTTTAAACGTCTTTAAATTTGTTACTAGAGGGAGAACACACAGCGTTCGCTAGGCATTCGTCTATACGTGTGTTCTTTCTGTTTTCAACCTGTAGGTGGCCACCACAAGCTGCACTTATTAAACAACTCATGAGTAGCATTTTCAATACTGTCATCTTCAGATAATTAGCAATTTATTTAAATAACCAATTTCTGTAGAAATAATTGCCATGAAATGCCCTGAACCTACTTTTTATAAACTATAATAAAAGTGTTAAGATAATCCCTGACATTTGCAAATGCCATTAGTTCACCTTTCCTTTTGATAGTGCTGTGGCATTATGTTTAAACAATTACCCGATAACACAGCAGTTTAATGCAACAGTACAGTAAGCACATTCTTCAATATTGCCAGAGAGGACATTCAGATTTTGAAAGAGATCCAGTGTGCCGACATGTTTACACAGAGGAAAGACACAGCTAAAATAAAAACGGATTCTTGAAATAAGTACGTTCTAGCTGTTTCCAAGTTGGTTGAGTTTCCATGGTAGATGCTACCACATATGTGCTCTCTTTGGAGACGAGAAAGGAGAGTTCTCTACATTGATTCATTTAATCGGCTGGTGCAAACTAAAGTCACATACACTTGTGAATGATACCCAGATAATATATTCAGTGTGTTATTTGCTCTATAATCACCACAAAGGAAAAAAAAAAAAGTTGTGATTTTTTTCCCCTATTAACCCTTTTTTACCATAAAAGCACTGAAACTTCACTAATCTAAAAATATGAGAACGCTTCATGAATTTGCGTGTCGTCCTTGCACAGGGCCATGCAATCTTCTCTGTATTGTTCTAATTTTAGCACACATGTTGTCGAAGCGAGCATCTCACTTCTAATCTTAAACATTTCAGTCTGATTTTACTTTAACATTGGTGTGTACTTTCAAAGCAGAGTTATCAAGGACAACTGCAATTGGCTTTTAGAGCTCAGCTGGTATTTAGCATTTAAAATGGACCAGGAGTTCCAACTCTCCGTTCCTTTCTTGCCATCCAGCTGCCTATTCCACTAAGACCCATGATGTGGGATTATACAGTGTTTCTGGGTGACGAGTGAGAAAACTCTTTGAGACTTTCATAATTTTTAATCTACTGGCCTTCATATAATAAAACAAAATTAGAATTCAAAGCCAATAGCAATATCTTTTTATTATTATTATTATTTATTGCCTTCGGTAGAGTGCCATGGCGTCACAGCTCACAGCAACCTCCAACTCCTAGGCTTCAGTGATTCTCTTGCTTCAGCCTCCTGAGTAGCTGGGACTACAGGTGCCCACCACAATGCCCAGGTATTTTTTTAAGATTTTTTTTTTTTAGAGACAGAATCTCATTTTTTCACCCTCAGTAGAGTGCTGTAGCATGACAGCTCACAGCAACCACCTGGCTTTTTTTTTTTATGCTGTTTTTGCAGTTTGGCCAGGGCTGGGTTCGAACCCACCACCCTCAGTATGTGGGGCCAGTGCCCGACCCACTGAGCCCCAGGTGATATCGTTTTTATAGCTAAATTAAAGTGATTTGAGAGCCTATTTTGTACCAGTTGCTCTGCTGAATTATTTACACATTATTTATAACTTCATCACATCATTACAGAGCACATACGCATTATCCACATTTTACAGATGAGGAAATTCAGGTTCAAAGAGTTAAAAAATACATGCCTGTAAGAAAGACAGGGTTGTGTGGTTAAAAGATGCATTACGAGAATGAAACAGTCTATGACGTCACCCTAACATTCATTGGCCAGTTTGAAAGCGAGGGTTTCTCTGTATTTCCAGATTACCATGTCTCGGTCTGTCCCCACTCAGAGGTTCAGGTGGTGCTGGTAGCCTAAAAATGTACAGGGTTTACCTAGAACTATAAATAGATGGCCCATTCAGCAAAAACGTACTTCCTCAACCAAAGAAGTATTCTGAACCATGACAGTGTTCCCATACCCACCAGCATCACATTATTTCTTTCTTTGGAAACCCGCAATTTTTTTTCCCTCCATGATATCCTGTGCTGTGCTGTTAACGCTGTGGCTGGTTTCCTGGCCAGGTGTCTATGGTAGCATTGCCGTCCTGTAAAAGCTCGCCTTTCATTCTCAGTAATGCATTCTCTTTTCACTTTTACAGTGAATTACATGTGTTAATCTCTGTGCCCTGTGACAAGACCCTGTTCCTCGGAGTCTCCTGAAACACAGGCTGCACAGCTAGCAATGCTGTTTTGTTCTCTTCATTGGGCTGAACAACTCTCAAAGATGGAGTGGGGACAGGGACGTCTCCACTTGGGCCCTTATCTGAACCCTCTGAGAACCAGTTTTATAACTGACCAGGCACTTTGAAAAGGAGGGGCTCTCCTGATTAATTGCTCTCTTGATGAATTGACAAAATTTCTTCCTAAATTTCAATAGGTTAAAAGTGTGAAATAATTTCCAACTCAGCATTTTCCCTATTGCTAACGGCAGCAGAAGAGAGGCCTCCTCTCAGTGAGCTTATAAGGCTGGGTAGATGAAATGAAGAATGGGGAATGTAGATTCACATGCTTGATTTTGTGGGGCTAACAGCAGATGTTTCTGAAACTCAGAGCACAGGGAGAAGCACAAAGACGGTGGTGGTTCAGGGAGGCTTTGAGAAAGGTGCAGAATTTCAGCTGGGCCTTAAAATATGGGTAGGTTGGTCTGGGGCTGGAAAATAGGATATTTTAAACTCTAGCAGGGGCCAGGGACCAGGGAAGAAAAATTGTAGAGACAGTAATGAATGAATCATAGTTGTGAAACATGTTAATAGCACAACTAAAGCCGTCTCTCAGGGAGGCAAATGGTCTATGAGGCTTTAGAGTGGGATGGGTGTTGCTCAGTAGATAGCATGGAGCTTGGTGCAGCCTGTCTCCAGCTGCCCCAGCCACCATCATCAATTTCTATATGATATTTTATTTATAAAAATGCTTTTTAAAATACTGACCTGGTATAAGAATAAGTAGGTTTGACTTTCTAAACAAAAGATAAAATGAGGGAAGTCCAAAGGTATTTACTATTAATAAAAATCATAACACTGTTATTTTAATAGCACTTAATAAATAATTCTACATAATAAATGTTGCCATTTATTAATGGAACTATTTCTCAGGAAAAACTAAAAAGAACTGATGACCCTGCTGTAGCCTTTCTACAGATCATAGTGATCTTTCTAGTGTTAGGAAACATGTATTGTTAGGATTTGCAGCAGAAGAGATAAAAGTTGCAACTAGAATAGTAGGATCCCCATTTTTCAGAGTGTAGAGAGCTCCTGTAATGGAAGAGGCAAATGTTCCATTCCATTCCGTCATTCCGCAACTACTGGCAGTAATTTTCATTCTCACAGATGCATTCGTGCTCCTAACAGACATAAATACTGCAGGAATCTGCAGCATGTATAAAAGAGAGCACATGATCGGGTGAGTGGGAAAGGAAAGAGAATTCAAGACTACGTTACATCAGATAAGATCTCCCAAAGTATTGCCTAAAGGAGTTCTCATCTAACTCTAGACCCTGAGGATGCACAGTAGTCCGGCAACCTGTCCTACCGTGTAAGAGGACAGCTGGGTGCCTAAAGTGGGAGTCTAAGCTCAAGCTTGGGCATACTAGTGTGGCCCCTGGAACCTCTGATCTCTTAGAGCTTTGGACTATAAGCTGGGGATGTTCCACAGCAAAATGGATGGTTAGAACCCAGTAGCTATTTGGATACCCATTGAGTGGGCAAGAACTTGTAATGTGTCTAATATAGAACCGGACATAATCAAATAAAATAATCTATGGAAAGCAGGCGGCACAGTGGCAATCACACAGTAAGTGCCGAGTGACTAGTACAGGACTATAGCCACAGATTCTAAAAACAGTAAAAGTATAAGAGAATAACAGGAAGAACTTTATGTAATAAATTCAACAACAGAAATTAAATGGACAGATCTGTGCAAAACAAATCAAATTGTGAAAGAAAAAGAAGAAAATAAAAATTAAAGACAGAACCCAAACTATTACAGAAATTGAATTCATAATAAAAGATACTTTCACAGGTAAACTCTATGCCCGGATGGCTTCACTGGTAAATTCTGTCAAATTTAAGGAAGAAATAATACAAATCTGACACACGCTTTGCTGAAGACAGAGGAAAGAGGAACAAATTCCAGTTCATTCTATGAGGCTAGCATAATCCTGATATGAATAACTAACAAATACATTAAAAGAAAATAAAATTATAAGCCACTTCCAAAATATCTTTCGTAAAATATAAGAAAATTGCGTTCAGAAATGTGTGAAGGGAGAAAGCACCATGATTAAATGAGGTTTATCCCAAATACGTGAAGCTGATTTAAGATTTGAAAATCAATTAGTATAATTTACCACATTCAGAGATAAAAGAGAAAAACTACGTGCGAATTTCAAAAGGGGGCAGAAAGTGCATTAGGAAAATTAAAAATTCATCCATGATGGCCGGGCTTAGTGGCTCACTCACGTAATCCTAGTGCTCTGGGAGGCCGAGGCTCAGGAGTTCAGGACTGGCCTGAGCAAGAGCTGAGACCCCTCTCTCTATTGAAAACAGAAAAAAAGCTTGAGCCCAAGAGTTTGAGGTTGCTGTGAGATATGATGCCACAGCACTCTATCCAGGGTGACAGTGAGACTCTGTCTCAAAAACAAACCAAAAAATTCATTTGTGGTAAAACAAACAAACAAACAAAAAAACTGTCAACAAACTAGGAATAGATGAACCCAAGCTCAGTCTGACAAGGCCAAGGCCGTTTATAATCATCCCATAGGTTACCATCATACTTAATAGTAAAACATTATCTGTCTGTATATACTTTTTATACTCCCTATGTATTTTCTCATTTTCTATATACTAGCAAAAAGCAATCAAAATAAAAATTTAAAATAACATTCACAACAACACACAAAAAAATCAGCAAATAGAAAACTGTTTATTAAAATTATGTCAGGTCCATACATAACAAAACAGTCCTGAGAAAAACCATACGGACTTAAGAAAATGAAGAGATATACTGTATTCATAGACTGGAAGACGCAATACTGTCAGAATGTTAAATTCCACCAAGTTGATATATAGATTCAGTACAGCTCCAAAGGAAAATCCAGTGTGCTGAGGGGGGAATGGGTGGAGCGAGGAGGATTGGAGGGATCACTTCTGAGGTTTATCTTACAAGGGTACAAGTGAATCTTTCTAATAGTAGAATGTGAACATTTTTAAAACAATAACTAAGAAAATGATGTGAAGGCTATGTTAACCAGTTTGATGGAAGTGTTTCAGATTGTGTGTGAAAACCCCACACTGTACCCCAGAAGTGCGTTAATGTACACAGTTACCATTCAATAAAAAAAAAAAGGGGAAAAATCCAGTGTGCTTTATTTGAAGAAACTGACAAACTGATTCTGAAAATTCTATAAAAAAAAAAAAATCTAGCCAAAACAATCGTGGAAAAAAAGGCAAAGCTCAAGGACACTAGTTCACGTTAGAATATGCTTTAAATCTATAATAATCAAGACAATGGTATTAGAATATATAAGAAATAAATAAAACAGAATGGAGTCCTAAAATAGCATGAAAAGATAAGGTCCATTGATTTTTGACCAAAGTATCAAGTCAGTTCAATGTGGGGAAAGAAAAGTCATTCTAACAGTGTTAGAATGACAGAATATTTGGAAAAAAAAAAAAAAAGAAGAGGCCAGGCATAGTGGCTCACACTTGTCATCTGGAGTTTGAGACCAGCCTGAGTGAGAGTGAGACGTGTCTCTACTAAAAACAGAAAAATTAGCTGGGTGTTGGGGCCGGCACCTGTAGTCTCAGATACTCAGGA